CTTTGGTGTGTGAGGAAGAAAGAGTGCTCTCAGCTTAGGGATGGTGACTTTTTGCAGCCCTAGTTTGGCTAATAGTTTGTATTTTTTTGTTTTATTTGACTTGCCAACATTTTTACTAGCTTCACCACAAAAGAATGTTTTTTTTTTTAAAATATATGAATATTCATGTTTTTCATTTAAAAATACTTTTTACATTATTAAACTGAAAAAGATGGAAATTATAGAGCTGTGATGTAACTACATGACTAAACACATGTTTATGAACTCAGGAATGGTTTGTAGTTTTCAACACATACTGATGATTTCAAGGCATTTTTGTGATTTTAATAAATCCTTCTGTGTGAGCCTGCTAGATAAAATTTCTGCAAATTCTGCTGATGTGTCAAAAAGGCAAGAGACGTGTATTTATATTAATAAATAGACTTGCTGTAACTGGCCTGAAGTCTTTGGGGAGCCCTGTCTTCCACTGGCTGTCAATTTATTCAGAAAAAATTGTGCTTGTTGTTACTTGGGCCGCATATTGCCTACATATGACTGTTTGGTATAGTGGTAATCTGTTATTGTTCCATGTTGTTGTCAAGCAATTTCATAATGCTTTTACTCCTGTTTTGTCAGTGCACAGCTGCCCTGCTGGATCGACGCCGAGTTTGGTGGTCATCCCATGTCCAATGACAGAACACATCCTCTGAGAATTCCATACTCATTACCTGAGGTGTCTGGGCTGAGAAAACACACTCGGCATGACTCAGTGCGACTGAGTGACTCGGTGTACTTGCTGTTGAAACATTTGAGAGTGTTGCATGTTGTTTTTCTTTTATTTTTCGCTGCTGGTTTGCTTCAGAGCCACGCTTGCTTCTGTTTAGGTACGGTGTCTCGGTATTTTAGCCCTCTATGTCTGTTTCTCTCTCTGTCCTTTTCTGTTCTTCTTTCTGGTGTTCCTGTTTTGTAGTGCGTGTCCTAGCAGAGCCTCTCGGCCCATCAGGCTTTGTTTCAGACTGAATGAGCGCAGTGTGGACTAAGGCAGGCTGGCGGATAAACAGCAGGATCTGCAACAAGCAGTCACAGCTCGCTCTCCCACTTATGCTCTCTCTCCGTCTCGTTCTCTTTCTCCCTTGCAGCACTCCACAGGAGGGAGAAAAGCGTGATGAGCTTGTCTGTTTACTGGCCTCTTCCTCTCTGTTGAGTAGCATGCATGTTTTATTACACTGCCATCAAAAGCACAAAACAAGCATTTGTGTGCAAGAATTAGCCACTCCTCTGAGAAAATTCACCACCGCTTTTGTGTCCCTCTGCTCTGCGTGCGTAATTTAGACACTGCAGGTTTTTCATTTCCCTTTTCGTCTGTTTTGGTATTTAAGCCAATGCCGACTCATGCACTGCTCATAGTAATTTGGTAATATGATTGTATTCTGTGCCCCACATGGATATCGTTTTGGAAGGAGTTCTGCTTCTTAGTCTGGACCATCACCAAACACAAGCAGAAATTCCAGCTGGCAGATGGATGAGATGAGAGATGCTATTAGCCAATGACAAGATATTGTCTCAGTCCCTCTTGGCGGAATAAACTGCTCAACCTCTGTTGCATTGCAAATGAAGAGAAGCACTCATAACATGCTCGACTGTTTAAAGTGCCCTTATTATGCCATTTCGAATATTGCCTTTCATGCAGTGTGTAATGTAGCTGTATGTAAATGTAAACGATCTGCAAAGCCGAACGTGCGCGATAAATAAAGTCATTGTCTCCCAAATGAAAGAATCTACTTTGAACAGCATAAATTTGAATCCCACTTCCGGCTACACATGACGGCTACACATCACAGTGTAACACGTTTGCATAATGCCCACCTATGTTCTACGTTGGCCGGCCGCGAACAACTTGACCCACCCTCAAACACTAGCGTTTTTTGTGTGGTTGACATCATGTAGAGAAGACGCAGAGTCCTGTGCTATTAAAGTAAATTTCTTTATTTTCACATCCAAAAGATGAGGCTGCAAAGAATCAATGGTTATAATTCACAGCAGCACAACCCCAGTCTTTTTGTGTTCCCGTCATTTTACTGACGACTGCTTCTACAATCTCAGGGAGACAACTCTCAATTCACAAAATGCTTGCTCTTGAAAGATGGTTCAGTACCCAGTTTTTTTTAAACCAGCTGCCTCCATTGAATCACAACCTACAGTGGGTACGGAAAGTATTCAGACCCCCTTAAATTTTTCACTCTTTGTTATATTGCAGCCGTTTGCTAAAATCATTTAAGTTAATTTTTTTTCCTCATTAATGTACACACAGCACCCCATATTGACAGAAAAACACAGAATTGTTGACATTTTTGCAGATTTATTAAAAAAGAAAAACTGAAATATCACATGGTCCTAAGTATTCAGACCCTTTGCTCAGTATTTAGTAGAAGCACCCTTTTGATCGAATACAGCCATGAGTCTTTTTGGGAAAGAGGGCTTTTAATGATGAGACCTTTTTTGTAAGCAGGCTCTCAAAAAGTATATAACAATTTGGATATAGATTTATCGGCCAACATATCGGTTATCGGCTTTCAAAAATAAAGAGTAATCGGTTATCGGTATCGGCCAAAATTTTCATATCGGTGCATCCCTAGTTTAGAGACACTGAATCTTAGAACTCCCTCGAATGAATCATTTGATAATTGTTGGAAAATTAGGTTATATTAAAGGCATATTTTGATAAAATGAAAGCATTTTTTGACCTTGCATGCATATAAACCTATTGTAGGAGACTCCCAAAACAATATTAGGAACCTTAAAAATTGCATATTAGGGGCACTTTAAGATCCTTATCTCTCAAAGATGAAACCTTTGCTCTGTCCACTGAAAACAGTCTTGACATGTTTAGAACTCGTAATGCATTTTACTTGCGTAATGTGACTTATTTCAGAAAAATATTAGCAAGACTTGTCCCCCCCCCCCCCCCTTTTGTGTTTTCTGGAATAAAGTGCGCCTGCAAAGT